AAAGCTTTTTTTCTAGTCTTGAATCGAGTTTTATGATTTTCTTATTTAACCATCATCTCAATTTCTCTCTAAAAATTCCTATTCAAACGGATTCATTGGATATTTAATTCTTATTTTGTACCAATCACGTAAATCTTACTGTATGTTTCAAAAAACGACATTACGAATCTGGGATATTAGAATCATGTTGAATTTAAATAAATATGATAATGAATTGATCGAAATTCATTAAGATCGGTGAAAGTTTAATGAACTCCGCCTGTGCCTCTGATCTGTTTTTTTTTCTTAGAAGATTTCATTTTCAAATCTCTAAGCATTATGAAGTAATGACTTCTCTTAATTCATCAAGGAGTCCCAAAACATGGTTAATCTTGCAGCTGATCATTACGAACAATTTTTCGAAGAACCAATGGTGATGACGCCTCATCCGTATGTAGACACTCTATCACTGAATTTTGACAATTGTTCAGATCCGATTCCTTTGGTAACTTATCCTGAAATTCTTACGGTACTAGTTGGTAGAGAAAAGAAACGCTCGTGTGACAGCTATGGGCTTTTACCATTGTTACTAGGTAATATCCCGAAGAACTATTGGCATCTCTTCGTTCGTCTATATAATCATTCATTTTCAACATGTTATCTAACGAAGTGATGGAAAGACGTCAGAATAGCTTTACTTGCAAAAAAAGATGCAATCTGTATTTCAGATCAGACGCGACCAATTTTGCTACTAGGTTTATTGGTCAAAATCCAAGAGCACCTATTTCTCAATAAGTTTCTACAAGTGCCCAAAGATCGAGGAATTTTACACGATAATCAATCTGGATTTCGTGCGGGACATCGCCTATACATACGTGTTTTACTCCTAATCGAATAGATATCTTCTAATATGTCAAATAGCTCACCAGTGGCTACAGTTTTCGTTGGTTTTAATAGCGCATTTGATCAATTATGTTTCGAAGACTGTTTAGGAAAATTCATTAGAATGACCATCCATTTGCCCTTGTCAAATGGATTCATGCCTGGCTCGAAGGTAGAAGGGGTACGATAGAGACTCAGGACAAATGGTCCCGTTGGTTTCCAATGCGTCGAGGAGGACTGCAAGGATCCAATTTTACTTCGATCCTCTTTATGGCATGTCATACTTATATGGGACAGCTCCGTCCGATGGCCATGGTTTTTTCTTTGTTGATGATTTGGCAGCTGTTATTGCCGGTCAAATAGAGTTTAAATATACTACACAATACATCGATTTGGAAAGACGACTGCATTCATTCTTCGATCATTTGGAATACTACTCGATTCTTGCTGTTCAGCCGATTAATTATTCAAAAACTTAAGTGATGTGGTCTACACAAGCAGTGGGTTACCCGAACTCGATGTCAGATCTCAAATGTGGTGGCCATTCAATCGAATGGGTAAAATCGTGTAAATATTTAGGCTACTGAATAACGACGAAACTTGAGTGAGGACAAGTCATTACTCGTACCTAAATTAAGATTCGTCAACAAACTGTGATGATAAACTCGATCAGATTTGGAGGGTCAACCTCCACTACACTTCGTCTTGTTCTATTCTCAACATTCGTATTACCTTTTTTCACATGGCTTTATGAGCTTTTCCCATTGTTCACAGATTTACAGCGAACAAATCTGAGTCATTTTTATTATACATCGCTTAAACGAACATATCACTGTCATTACTGGAACGATTCATTTTTCGTATTCGATTACGACGAGCGTCCTCTTAATGATCTATGTTATGAATATTGGATTAAATATCTGAAGAAAATGGTTAAATTCTTGGACAATTATTTGTTGCTCGAGCAATCGTGTTTAAACACGAATCATTCAATGAGGTATGAAGGAAGAAGACCGATTCGTTCTCTCTACCGTTCTAAACGATTTTTCTATCATGTAGATATATTTGGCAAAATCTTACATTGATTGTCAAATCACGGTTCATCTGACTCAGTAGCGATTATCAATGTGAAAGATATCAGATGTTGTGCTGAATTTTCAGAAATATTCTAATGACAGCCGATCTTTTTTTTTCCTTTTGAAATCTTTTCGTTAGCAATCATGCTTTTTCCTAATGAGTCATCCTCTACGTTAAGTCTACTCTTGTTTGTCTTTCTTTAAAGGTTTTTTCTCTTTTCTTTGTTTTTTTGTTATGATCATTATTATTATTATTATTATTATTATTATTATTATTATTGTTATTATTATTATTATTACTATTATTAGCTTTTTTCTCCTCTCTTTTCTTTTTGCTTATTTATTTCTTTCTTTTTCTCTTTTCTCCTTTTCTTAGTTTCTTTTTTTCTCTCTTCTTGTATTGTGTGTTATTTTTGGCTTTCTGGTAGTGCTTTACTTACCATCCTAACGGACGCACGTGCTAAAAGACAGCTGCTCCTCTAAGACCATTTAGGTCAGAGAGTTAAACATAGCAAATAAACATAAATATATAAAATAATGACTCCTATTCTCTAATAATTTTTCTTCAATTTCTGCTGAGTTTTTTTTTTTTCTCAAAATTACTAAGTGCATTGAAGATTGTATCGTATTCCAATGCAACCAGTGAGTTTTTTAGAATTTTCAAACTCTGTCGTATTCTATCATTGTTGAAATTTACCAGAGTTCATCTGAATTTTCTGCATATTCATTGATTTTTCATAAATAAAAAAATTATACACAATTATGCTGATAATTAATCTAAAGTAGAGATCATAAAAATTTCTCATGGCTACGAGCGTTTATTCGTTTAAGCAACAGGTATGGCGGATGAATATAAAAAGATTTAAACAAGCTTGCAGCACACAGAACTCCACAAAATTGGTATTAGTTTTTACTTTTTAACTGTCTGCCGAAGTATTTTAAACTCTTCAATGAAACAAAATTCAACAATAAAATAAAAAAACAACGGTGTTTTTATGGAAGTAAAAGGTCACCAATGAGAGTATAATAAATTATATAATCTACTGTTCCTCTAAAGCAATTAGATTCCATATTTTATCAGAAAACAACTTGCATTTTTTCATGAGAAAAAAAAAAGAGTTTTTCATAGGACGATAAATTCGTTGCAACCGATTCGAAGATCTATTGTACACTTTAATTACATCTTAAGCATTATAATGAATTACGATCTCAATTGACGCAGTTCATAGTTTTTAGTAGCTTTACCACCCTAACTCAAACTACGAAGGTGGAATTAGCAGTGGCTTCGCATTTTTCAGAAAACATTCACCTATACATTTCTACCAAAAAAGATTTTGATTGTACTAAGTGGAGCATCGAATACACTGTTGAATCAATACAATTCAGAAAGTTTCTAATGCCAATAAACTACTTAGAAATTAAAAAGATACTTTTAGAACACTGACTTTACTAAAAAATCTCGGTGTTTTCTTCAAATATGAGTGCCAGAACTTTCGCCAGTAGATAAAACGATTGTTGCCAATAGCGCTCAATCACAAAAATCGATTGGTATCAAACTCAATTCTATCTGTCAACAGGATAAAGCTACACCTAGCGGGTGTGAAGTGTGGGTGTATAGAAGACCCTTACTCACCATTACTCTAATACCCACCTACCAACATCTACCCCATTCACTCAAACTCATACTCTCAAATCACATGCATGCCAATCGAAAAGAAACAATGATATAATTAAAAATTTGATTTAAGATACATAGTCTACAAAGGTTTTTTTGATTACATTAGAATAAAGAATATTTTTCATTTATGAAGATTGACATAGATAATTGTAACGACAAACTAGAGGAGTAACTTACCGCGTCCCTTTGATAAGGATATTTATTGAGCTACTTCATATCTCCAGACTGTATCTATCTCACGTTCCAAACAAGTTTATATAGGAGCGAGTTGAAAATAGCACAGAATAGTAGAGAGAAAGAGAAAGAAAGAAACAAGAAAACGTGGAAGTGAGGATGTCACTAAGATAGTGATATCAATATTGGAACAATAATGATTATATAATCTTTTATATTGTATAGTTACGTATTTACTCATTTTATTCGAATACAAATCAACGAGTATTATATCATAGTAGTATACTGGAAAGGTAATTAGTTCCTATTAGTTCAATAAAAAAGATTCACTACATTGTTTGTGAAATAGTTATGAAACCTTGTGAATAGCACACGTAAAAAAACCTGGTAGAGAATATTCTACCAGGATGTGAAAATGTATGTTTTCTTCTTTGTAAAAAAGAAAAGCGTTTGTTTTGCTTTTAGATGTATATTCTACGGGATTTCCACTTGAAATATTGAAGAACAGATTTCACTTCGCCAATATCAAGAACAATGAAAAATTAGACTCAGTTCTTGTCAAATTATTCCTCTGTTTACATGCTATCATCTACGTAATATATACTGGGATGAATGGTTTTTTTTATTAACGAAAACCGATAGAGAGAATTGAAAATTCCAGCAAGACAAAGATTATTTAGATACAATAAGAGCATTTCTATCTGTTTATAATGCCAACTATTTTGACACATTTTGAAATCTGAAATGAAAGATGAAATTCGTTATTTTGAAAAAACCAATGCAAAAAATGATCTAATTTCTGTTTGAAGCTAATATTTATTTTTTTTACAATATGTATTAATCATCACTAATTATACAATATATGAAAAAATGATTTGTCATATCCCGTCACCCATTTACATATAAATTGATAAGCAATAACACTTTCTGGTGCAATAAGCAAGAATAAATGGCAAATAAGTTCGCAAATCTATATTCGAAGTAATAAAATAATAGCTAAAACTAAACGTCAGCATTGTCTGCTAGACTTTTTTTTAATAAAAAGTCGTCTCCAAAATCGTTAGAACCATTAACGT